AAATCTAATTTCTCAAGCATTCTTAGTGAATCACTGAAGCCTGTCATGGAGTTTAATTTTTCAGGAGTATAATTAGTATAACAGATTCATGTAGATAAACTGATACCCTCTAATCTCATGTCCTTGATCTCTAAGGGAATATTGCTAACCTCATTTTAGCAGGTTTGTTAATCTTTGATAACCTTGCAGTTTTTGTTTGGTCGTTTTACCTAATTTCGTTTGGGATACATTGTAATTTGCTATTGATAACGATATTCATCTCTATATAACAGTTTATAGATGTAAAAAATGCTTTTGTGTGTATTATCACACTTGAATCTATGACAGCCTTGTGAGACAGAAAGTATTTTGGCCCCTGTTCATAGGGCTTGTCAATATTTTAAGGAAGGCTTTCAGAAAGTGCTGAAGCAAAGTATTGTCTCTGGATGGTGCCATTTATCATGCATTCGTAATGCAGTTTGCTTCATCTGATGTTTTTAGGTGCCAATCATAGCGCATAGGTAAGAGAAAAACAAAAATGTTTCTTTTGACATAGGCAGGACAGGTATTGTCAGGCTTTTCCCCATTTTGAAGATGAGAAAATTGAGGCAATAGCTGACAGAGTCGTCTGAAAGAACATGGCTGCGTGGACATCTCAGGGCTTCTCAGGAGAGAGTTTCTTGTATGCAGGGCTACATTTTGCCTTTAGTATAGAATCCAATTTAGAATGTTTCAGGTTCCTTATGGTACTAGGACCAAGACACACACACACACACACACACACACATACACACACACACACACACTAATTGCTTTAACGTTGAGCTCTCATTTCTACTCTAGTATCTTAGATTGTTGTTTACCTGCCTCCCTGCTTCCTAAATCATCATCATAAACAAAATTTGCCTAAAACATTTTAGCATCACACCTGTGCAAGCCTACAAAACTGATATTTTTAAACACATTGTCTGGTCTAAAATACAATTGCATAAAAGTTTGAAACATCCTTAAATTTTAATTTAAATTCTGGGTTTCAAACAGAATATTTTGACAGTTCTGTGTTCATAAAACTGTTGGCTTTATTTTTTATTTGAATTTAGTGGTACACTAAAGTGAACTATTTTAATAGGTTAGGTTTTTTTTAATTTAAAGGGCTCACATTTTGACATTCTTAATTTCTATTAAGGGAAAATGTTATCAAAATTGAGCAAGTTATAAGGAATATATATATATATATATATATATATATATTTTTTTTTTTTTTTTTTTGGGGTGTGGGGGCCTCTCCCGGTCGTGGCCCCTCCCGCTGCAGAGAACAGGCTCCGACGTGCAGGCCCAGCGGCCATGGCTTACGGGCCCAGCCGCTCCGCGGCATGTGGGATCCTCCCGGACCGGGTCACGAACCCGTGTACCCTGCATCGGCAGGCGGACTCTCAACCACTGTGCCACCAGGGAAGCCTTATAAGGAATATTTTTAAGTTTAAGTCCTCATCATTGGAATGGCAAAAGACCCAAATTTTTTCACAGAAAGGGTCTGTTTCTCATTATTTCAAAGATATTTAATGCCAGAAGTGATCATATAACAGGAAAATGTAATGGGCAATGGGATATATCACTTACCAGTAAAATGTTTAAAAGTAAATTTGTAGAGCAAAGTTTACAGTATGATATGCACCTCGACTAGGGAGGCAAATGTTATTTGACAGTCATATCCCACTACATAAGGAGGAATGACGCATTAAAATAGATGCAGTCATTAATCACATCAAATTTAAGCAACTTTTTATGTAAAATACACAGATAGAATTAAGCCACACAAGACAAACAGAAATACAAACACAAATAGAAAATGAAAACTATGATAAAAGTGAGAAAGTAAGCAAATAACACAGAGAGTAAATAGTTATGTGATTAAACACTGTTTTACTTTTGCTTGCAAAAGGGAGTGAGACAATGTGATAACTAATTCTTTTTAACTGGTAACATTATTTCCTCAGAAAAGACCGATTATTTTCTAACACTAATATTTTTTTGCTTTTGTTTTTTAAACACTAAATTCTTAATAGAATTTATCCTATGGGGCCTTAAACAGGGGACATGGAACAATAATAAATAATATTCTTCACAAAAATTTTATAGTAGATAGAGATATGGTTTTCATCCTACTGTTTCTTGTATTAAGTTATGGTAAAGACTTAGGACAAGACATTAAAGCCCAATTCAGTGGAAATAAATGGCTGAGGCAGGTGGGGTGTAGGCAAAGGGCCGGTGGAAGTGGTCACTGTGGCATTTGGAGACTCGCCCATCAGAAGGATGATTCTCAAACACTGTGATGAAAGCAGGTGTCTTACCCACCAAGTGTGGCTTCCTCTGGTCCCTGAGGATTGTTTCCAGGAGGGACAGGTACTTCTGGGAGGTGAGGGCCTAGGTCTTTATTGCTACTGGCCTCTTGCTTGGTTTCACTGTCATTAGTTCAAAGACAGCCTTATCTGTTTGCAGAAAAGATTCGGCCCTGCCCTTCGGGATCTTACCTTCTTTATTTTATTTTCATGGTAGAGCTAGATTGGTTTCAATTTTAACTTTTTTTGCTGGAAAATTTCAAAGCCACCCATCACCCAGCTTTAACAATTATGAATATGGTCAGTCTTGTTTCATCAAGAGTACATTTTTCAAATCCCAGCGGCATACCCTTTTTCCCTAGGACATGTATTTCTATTCTTAGGACCCATTGGTGACTAGACCGAGAGTTCCTTGAAAGCAGCATCTACATTGTTTATTGGCAAATATTCAATTAAAAAGAAAAAAAGAAAAGGAAATGAGAAAGAAAGGAGAACAGCCCACGTAGCAGGACAAAGGGCTGGGTACCTGTGGTCCCGGTCTTCCTCAAGGAATTGAACGGCCTAATCAGCTTCTCAGGAAGGTGGAGCCTCTCCAGATGGCTCAAGCTCACCTTCTTTTCCAAGGCTGATTTATAAATGCATAATTTGTACTCATTTACAATAGAAAAATACGCAATCCCAGTGCCAGAACAGCTGTGACTCTTATTTAAGATGCCCTTCGTTGACTGTCCTTTGCCAAAACAGGGTCTGCGCACACTTAGACTTCTGTTTGGGCTACATCTAGCAAAGCACGGCTTCCAGTAACCACAGTGCTCCTTCCAATAACTCTGAGGCCACGTCTAAACTCATATTTAGAAAGTCATCAGCCAGGAAGCTTCAGAGGTCAGTGGTACCTCTTGGTATTGTCTTCTCCCACATACTCTGAAGGGATTAAAGAGGATAAAATTCTTGAGCGATTGGCATGATAGCATTAATATTTACACCCTATTCTATCATTTCCTCCCATTCTGCCCCAGGTCACTATGAATCTGCTAAAGGGCCCAGGTGCTTCTTGTCCGGTTTGGATTTTGAGGCTTAGGACCATACGTCATTGGTAGAAGACAGTTCCTTTGACCTATTTCTCTGGCTCTTTTGATCTTGACTTTTCCAGATCCCAATAAACAGAGAATAGTGTGATCCTATTGCTTTGCTCACCTGCCAGGAGTGGAGTCCAGCTTTGCTGAACCAGTCATGTAGACAGTTGGAGTGGTGGAGGGGAAAACAGCCTGGGATTGTTTATTTGAAACTCTTCCAGAGTGTGTGCACTCTTCCAGAGTGTGTTTATTTGAAACTCTTCCAGAGTGTGTGCAGAATCGTCAAAATGCTGCTATAGTACACATACACAAAGACTGCGATTAATCTAAATTCCAATGTTTTCCTTTCTCAGTGAAAAAAATTAATAAACTTTAATAGCTTAAAGTTTTCAGATTGCAGAATCATCCTTTTTCCATCTCATTTCTTCTCTTTCGTGCTGTATTATCTCATTCCTGTCTGTCTCCTGCTCACTAACCTGTTGTTTATTTTTCCTTACACGGTTTTCCCCATCTTCCCATAATACTATCTGTAGCATTCACTAGAGAGTAATGTGAGACACAGCTGATTACTGTGCAGTAATATCAGCTAAAGAGAACCTTAAAGTACATGCTGCTCCCATATGCACATTATTTTTCAGGTCCAAAAGCACATACTAAAATGTCTTTAGTTATGATATTATCTAATTCCAAAGGAAGTTATAAGTTTATTCATACACGTTTTCCTCTTAAGCCCATTTCTAGAATCCTAAGGAAGTACTTCACTAGGAAAAATAAACTAGTTGCTTATTAAAATATTTTATTATAAATCACATTAAAGAAACACATTGTATGGCATAAAATATTATAGCATCATCAAAATAATAGAAATGAAAACCATAGAGAAAAACAAGGAAAAAAGCCTTCATTTTTTCACCTAACGCCACTTAGTTTAACTCAACGGTGAGCTCAGATTGAGAGTATGAATAGTTTTTCCTGACAATATTGTTATATTTTTACAACAGAAGTTTATTTGAGGAAAGTGTCAGGTCAGCTCTCCATCTTACTGTATCTGTGTAGAGTACCGTCACAGAAAAATAACCAATTTAAATACAGTTCTTATTTTTATTTAAGGGTCCAGGACTTATAGCTGCAATGTGGGGTGTCTTCATGTTTAAGGAAATACAGGTATGTACGTGAAAGGTGTAGGTCCAGTTGAGAAGGGTATTTAGTACTATGTGTTATTTTCTGAAAATTGCATGCAACATGAATGAATTTGACAGGTCAGATGTTCAAAGTGCTATCATCTCTAACTAGGAAAGAAAATATTAACGATGTGACAATTATTATGAACATGTTTTTCTCCACCCCAACTTCAGGGAAAAATGCTTTAGTTGACTTTATTTTCCTGTAAGAGATCTTGGTTAAATAATCCAATAAAATATGATAGAGGGGAACTTTTATCTAGTGTAAAATATGGTAGATAAACAAGATGAAATATTTTTTATCCCAAAGATTAAAATATCCCTGAGGCAAATGGAATTTGGGAATAGATTTTCTGTTGGCTCTCATGCCTCCCAAGGTCTTCCATATCCAACCACCAACTTTACAGGAAAACAGTGTGGTAACAGGTGACAGCTACCTCTTCCCTCTTGAGTGTAAATGGTGCTTTTTTTTTTTTTATTTTAATTTATTTGGCTGTGCTGGGTCTTTGCTGCTGTGCGCAGGCTTTCTCTAGTTGTGGCAAGCAGGGGCTACTCTTTGTTGTGGTGTGTGGGCTTCTCATTGTGGTGGCTTCTCTTGCTGTGGAGCACAGGGTCTAGGTGCACAGGCTTCAGTAGTTGTGGAACGGGGGCTCAGTAGTTGTGGCGCACGGGCTTAGTTGCTCCGTGGAATGTGGGATCTTCCCGGACCAGGGCTTGAACACATGTCCCCTGCGTTGGCAGGTGGATTCCTAACCACTGCACCAACAGGGAAGCCCCCAATGGTGTGGACTTAAAATTGCATTTATCAAATAGTTCTAGGATGTGTGTGTGTATTCTCATTAAAAATTGTTTTAGGATTTTTCCCCTTTACCTTTATTTGTGGAAAAAGTCTTCAGTTGAGCAATCTATGTGAATAGTATTTTGTAATAGTTTTTACTAAAAAAATATATAAACTAGAGACACTGTCAAGGCATCATAGATATAATACTTTTTGTCTTAATAAGCAGCAAATAATTCCTACTTCTAAGAAGATCTGATGTTGCTAATCTCTGGGAGCCATAAAGTGAACATGTCACTGGATAATTCTTAAAATGATTATTCAGCTTTACATTTAAAACATCATTTCATTCATTCCAAATGAAATGTTTTGACTTAGAAAGCCATAAGATGTTAATACAAGTAAGATTTTCAGATTGAAAAAGTAATAAATTTGTTTAGAAGGTATTTGGATCACGATCTTAATTTTCGTGTTTTTAAATTTACAAGACAATTTAAAACATTTATAGACCCATAAGTTACTTTTGTGCACATGTTTCTTACTTATTTTAGTTAGGGTTGCTTTCCACAGAAAGTAATTCTATGCCTAAGGCACGCTGTAAATCTCTTTGCAAATATTTCATCTGCCTCGTGAAGGATAATGATTTCTATAGAATTGGGTGCTATCCAGCATAACACTCTGAAGCCTTAGAAAAGAACAAGTAAGTAACCATAGCTTATTTACAACTATAGATATAAAGAAGCACAAACTAAGAATAGATTTATTATGAAGCATTTAAAAATTATTTTATTCACTACCACAGTAATAATGATACTGAATTTAAAATCTTCCCTAGATACAAGAACTCCCTTGAGAGAGAGAATCCCTAACCATTGGACCTCGTGTTAATTCTTCAGAGTCCTCTAAAAAGACACTGAGCACATTCAAAGAAATGTTTTTTTAAGACACCTCTTAAAAAAAACAGCTCAGGCCAAATAGAGGAGGAAATTTTAAAAATGATAAAACATGACCAAGTAGGGTTTAATTCAGGAATGCGAGGATGGTTCATAATATGCAAGTTAATTAACGTAATTTATTATACTATTAGATAAACAGAAAGAAACTCTGTGACAATATATATTCAAAAGGCACTTACTAAAATTAAAAAACAGTTTTTAATTAAGAAAACAACCTCTTACAATAGTAGAAACCTCTTACAAATAGGAGGAAGCTTTAGTTGATACAAGGTGTCTATCAAAAAACAATAGCAAATATGTAACTAAGGTGAAACGTGTTCTCTGTCAATTCTATCTCAATAGAACTGAAAAAAATAAGAGTTCTCTGTAAGTTGGAAATCATAGATTTTCCATCATTGCTATTATCCAGTATTTTCTGGAGATCCTAGCCAGTGTGATAAGATAAAATTAAGAAATAAGAGGACTAGATATTGGAGAGAAAATTGTCATTTGCGTATAACATTCTCTTCTTTAAAAATTTAAGAGTATCAGCTGAAAATCTTGAGACCCAATAAGATCATTTACTAAGGCACTGAAATATAGGATAAATATTAAATCAATAGCTTTCCAATATGCCTCCAAGGACCAATTAAAAAGGAAAATAAATGCTATTAATACCTACAAAAATTATAAAAATAAAAGAAAATAATTAACAAGAAATATGCTGGATTTATAAAATCTTTTCCTTTACTGCAGAGGTTTACTACAAAACATAAAAGACTATCAGAACAAATAGGAGACTCATATATCCCTGATGGAACAGCTCACTATGGTTTAGGCAGCACCTCCAATTACATTCAGTGTAATTCAGATAAAATCCCAGTGTGTTTGATCTGCAGATTTGAGAGTGAGTGCAAAAGTTTGGCCAAGTACGTAAGTAAAAATAGAGAGAGGGCAAAGCTGAAAGCACAGTGAGTTTTGCTGACCTTTTAACTCTAGTTTAAAAAGCCTTACAAATCTGTCTACAAACAGAACTTAAGGTGTGTCCAGCGATACTTGTTCAAGGCAGATACTGAGTTGCCTCTTGACAGCAACTTTAAAGGAAAGTTTTAAATACTTCCCATGCCAACGAGTTTAACAAAGAGTTATCAACTAGACAGTGATACCAAAATCCTATCTCAATTTTAAAATTATTTTTCTTAAAAAGAAGATAAAACCATAGAGGAAAACAAAACCAAAACGTTTATCTTTATGACTCATAGGTCCTATCAGCTATGTCTTGAAGCAGTCCTCAAAGACACATATTTAAAAGTCTACAACCTGGAGCAATAAGGACTTAATCGGAGATCCAAGCACTTTTTGTGTGAAAGAGTTTAATGATTTTATTTCATTTTAATGACATCAGTGCTCTGGTTTGTCCACTTTGCCCTTGAGACATTCTTTTATATCTGATATCTGTTCTTCTTGGGAAGTTTGTTTTAGAATCTTATATTTAGCTATTTTAAACTAGACAGACATTATATTTTTAGCAACACATTTTAGTCAGTGTGTCCACAGTAATCCCAATGCAGGGGATTGTTACCACAGCAATTTACAGGTCCGTAGCAATGCCCAGATAAAGAATGAGATGATTTGTCATTTTAGTAGCTGTCTCAAAAATCCAAGTTAAACACTTTTTTTGCTTTGGGAAGGAATGTTAGCTTGATCTTTCTAAGAGTCAACATTCACCTTTGACAAAGGAAAACTATTTTGCCTAAATATAATCACTCTTTTTATCTAGGACACTAGGCAGTTTGGACAGATTCTTAACCTTAAAAGGGAAAAAATTTTACCCCCCTAAGAACATTGTTCTTCTGTCTACATAGGCAATAAAATAGAGAGCTTATGAAGTGTTCACATAATTAGGTGGTAAAGTGCTGATAAGTGAGGCCCCATATATTGTTTTTTCTTATTTCAGTGATTGCATCAATTGGCTAATTCACAAAGCACATTTGGAAATTGCCCGAGTGTATTGATTCTTTGAACAAATATTTATTGAGCACCCACTCTGCACCAGTACTGGCATCTAGGCAAAGGCTGCAATCTTTAAGACTAAGAAAAAGATGTCAGGGACCCTTAACGCCTTCATGCAGGAGAGAGAGAGAGAGAGAGAGAGAGAGAGAGAGTGTGTGGTGTGTGTGTGTGTGTGTGTGTAAATAGGCTGCCCTGTGCCTGGCAAGGATTTGTGCTTTCACTTGTAGAACTTGAATTAGAGTGACTTCTGGTAGGGTTGGTGCTGACAGTGAATCAGGTAATTCAACCAGCCCAACCCAACTTGCAAAGACAACTGTGGTCATCAAACAGACGCAAAATCACCCACTTTAACCCAACTGTTTATTAAGATGAAGAAAAAGGGGATATACATTTTTGACTATATATTAATTGTCATTAATCTAAAAAAATAAAGCTGGTAATAGTATCATATGATTTGACTACCAGGAGATCTCAGTGTAATTGAGACCCTATATTACTTGCCTCAGAGTATTGGGTCTATATTTAAAGAGCTATATAGACAGCCTGGCAATCATTCAGAAGGGAACATCCAGGACCGTGCGGGAGCTTGAAACTGTTCCATTTGAAAGATAGTCAAAGGAGCTGAAATATTGACCAGGGAAAAAGATGCTTCAGGGATAAAAGACATTTATTTTTCAATGTTTGAGGGTTTATCTTGTGGAAGAGAGATTAGAATTGATCTATCTGTACCCCTAGAGATGGAACTTATGAGAAATACAATATTTCTACTGCGCACAGGACGGTATTTCTTTGTTAAGGTACAGAGGGACTGGCTGCTGTGGGAAGTGGTCCTCCGTGCCTCCATCTTTAAGACAACACAGCTGGGCGAGTAAACTCCATCTCTATTTTCCCCTTGCCCTTTAGACTGGTCTCTGTCTCTCCATCTTCACTGCATCGTTTCTGCCCAGGAGGACTGCAATCACCTTCTCGTTGGTCCCCTTGCATCCCTTCTGGCCCCCTCCATTCTGTTCCTCCATTCTGCTTTACAAAATGCAAATCCCATCTTTTCGCCACACCCAGCTCTGCCCATTCCTCCGATGTTTTCCCACTGCTTGGAAAAATAAAACCAAAAGTAGAGCATGGCCTCTAAGACGCCTGTGTGCTCAGGCCCATAGCTTCCAACCTCATCAAGCTCCACCTAACTCACTGATGTAGCCTCTTGGACCTTCTTTTAATGCTCTCGGACCTTCTCTTAATCCCTGGCGAGTACCATGTTTCTCTTGCAGCAGAGCTCTGCACACACATTCCTTCCACCCAGGATCTCTACCTGCTGCCCTGCTTCCCTGTTCAGTTCATTGATACTTAGAAGCTCAACTCAACCTCAAACCTCCCACCTTAAGATTCCTTGGTAACACACAAACAGCCTTGGGCGTTTGCTTATTAGCCTCTCTCTGTCTTTTAACATGCCTTTCTGTAATGATTTTATTCATTCCTGTCTCCCATATTATGTGAGTAACTGAATAGGGGCACGTTTTTGTTCACCATTTTAACCCCAGCAAGTGTGGCTGCATAGTGGGAGCGCACATGTGTTTACTGAATGGTTAAATGATGGAGGATCTGCAGGGTTTCCACAGAGTCAGGAAGATCAGGCAGAGGGGTAGCAAAAAACCTACAGGAGGTAGACCAGATGGTTAGTAAGGTCCACAGCAATGTTGAGAGTCTGTGCTTTTTGGATATTTGGTTCAGGTTTTCTTAATGACAGTTATTCATTTTTATTACTTAGGGTCGACAAAACTACCTGCTGATGACACTTGCATTTTGCATCATCTTGGCTGGAGCCTTATGCACAGCTTTTTCTAAAATCTAACAACCACAAGGCCAGCAGATGGCAGCAGTGCTTGAGAACACGTCTCTCCTGGACACAGAGACTGTGCTGAGAACAACGTTCATGTTCATACAGCAAATGGATCTCCATCCATCCCGGATTAGGGTATATGATTTTTTTCCCCCCGCAAATGTGAGAATGAAGGAAAACACTTTCAGTCGAGCATAAAAATGAGAAATTCTTCTAATGAACTATTTATGAAGCATTACATCTAAGGATGCTGCTTTAACGACAATATGTATTTACTGGTGCATAATCTAGAAAACAGTGTGGATTTCGTATACAAAGAACTTGGTACATGTCCACATTTCCAACATATGAACCTCATTAGTGAAGAGAGGCATAAAAATGTTTGGGGAGGAGTGGGAAGAAGACTTATAGTGGAATTAGAATCCAAAGATATCTGGGGCCTTTGCGAGAAAAAGTAAATGTCAGAGTTGGTAACAGAATGTGAAAAGGGCCATTTCATTATTTTTAGCCCGGACTTATTTTAACCTCGAATTAATGTTGTCCAGTTCTCCATCACCCACCTGACTTAGCTCAAAGTGCCTTTTGATTATCTCCAGAGAAAATCCATCCTCAGAGAACAAAAACTTGCACCGTTGAGAATGTGTGTAACACATATACGTACATAAACAAGTACACCCATGAATACACATGCATATATGTATGTACTACTCCAAATTGGGGGGAGATTCTAGAATTGGTGAAGTGAGATTCTAGCTTATCGGAGTGAGAATTTTAAGGGACCAACACACTCCTTTAGATGTACAATTTAATTTTTTTTTCTGAAATATACTTTTCTAAAATCCCTCTTGTAACCAGTGGTTTTCTTCCTGTTTTAACTGGCGGGTTCCACTAGGTAAAAGAAAATCACAGAGAATGATAGTGTTCTTTAAGAAAACTGAAATGGAACTGCTAGTACAATGTTTATCACCATGGTTCCCAAACTCTCAAAATAGTTGAATTAAAAAACCTGGAAGAGGGCTTCCCTGGTGGCGCAGTGGTTGAGAGTCCGCCTGCCGATGCAGGGGACACGGGTTCGTGCCCCGGTCCGGGAAGATCCCACATGCCACGGAGCGGCTGGGCCCGTGAGCCATGGCCGCTGAGCCCGCGCGTCCGGAGCCTGTGCTCCGCAACGGGAGAGACCACAACAGTGAGAGGCCCGCGCACCACACACACACACACACAAAAACCTGGAAGAGTGCTGTGTCAATTTCACCCACTCCCTCTCCTAGAAGCACTTTACTTTGCTGCTAGGACAGGCAGAAAGTGTGTGACTCCCTAGCTAATCTGTATGGGTTCAAATCCCGCCTCTGCTTCATCTTAATTGTGTGACTTTGGATAAAGGTCTTGCACCACCTGTATCAGATTCCCCATCTGTAAACTGGAGATAATGGTAACATCCATCTCACATGGTTACTGGGACGTTCAAATTAGTGAAAATCTGTATTTTTATGAGTGTCTGGCGCTTGGCAAATATACAATTCTTTTTTTTTTAATTCACTTTTGGCCGCACTGGGTCTTCGTTGCTGCGCGGGCTTTTCTCTAGTTGCGGCAAGCGGGGGCTACTGTTCATTGTGGTGCACAGGCTTCTTATTGCGGTGGCTTCTCTTGTTGCGGAGCACGGGCTCTGGGCACGCGGGCTCAGTAGCTGTGGCTCGCAGGCTCTAGAGCGCGGGCCCAGTAGTTGTGGCGCACGGGCTTAGTTGCTCCGCAGCACGTGGGATCTTCCCGGGCCAGGGCTCGAACCCGTGTCCCCTGCACTGGCAGGCGGATTCCTAACCACTGTGCCACGAGGGAAGTCCCTCTAATTCTTAGCCATTATAATATGTCTTGTTTGAGAAAGAAAGCCTGTGTCTGTAGATTGGAGAAAACTTTGTAAGAGCTACTCTTCTCACCACCATCCACACTCAAACAATTCCTTATGCCTCTCCATGAGCTCAGTTTAAAAATGATCCTGGAGTCCCTGTTTAATTGTTGAAGTGTGAATACAAATAAATACTTGATTGTAACATCTTCCAAAAATTCATTTTAATTTTAACCTAAAATGTTGATATCTTTGAATCAACTGATATGATACAAAGCTATTTTTCTTGTTTAAATATATTTAAAATTTTTATATTAATGGCATTGAATTATTCTTTAGCTGAGGTTGCCAGTTTTTTGCAAAATTTTAAATGTGAAGGAAAGCAATTGCAGAGGAAAAATGAAAAAAAAAATCTTATTACCGCTCTGCAGTTTCTGCTACCAGATAGTGCCTATAATGTTAGTACAGTAGTGTGGGAGAGAACAAGCTTTTTCAAAATGCTTACCAAACAAACAACTTTTTATGTAGAGGTTAGTCTAAATGGGTAATTTCCAAGTCTCCACTCCCTTCGTTTACCTTAGGAAGTTAATGCCCACGGTTCTTAAAGTTTGGGGGTTTCCTTTTTCCTTGTCTAGTATGGTCAGATTCTTGTGTAGGCATTCATTTTGGCTTGGCTTTCTGTCTCTGTGTTCAGAGGGCAGTACCTTAGGAGGGCATAGCCCCCAATGAAGTTGGCCTCCAGATTATGGTAATTTTCTACTATCAGAAGAAAAATGCCTGATTACCAAAAATCCCTAATGAGTTTTAAAGAATTAATAGTACAGACACTCCCCTGAGCTACCAAACCTCCTTTTAGTCCTGTTATACTGATTTATTTGTACTTATAGAGTTGCTACCTACTAGCCTTGCACGTACCAATATTGAGAGAGCTTCTGAAAAACACACTGAGTAAAAAAGGTGAGTTGTAGCGATGTGTGCATGGTATGATACCATTTAAATACATTTTTAAAAATCAAAGAAATATGTACATTTTCTGTGAATTCATATGTATGCAACATATTAGAAAAACATATGTACCGAACTCATAATAGTGAGAATAAAATGGTGACACTAGGTCAAGATGACCTTGAGCATTACCTGTAATACTCTAATTTTTATGGCAATGAATTCATCTATGTGTTCTTTAATATGTGTTAAAGAATCAACGGCAGAAAATCTCAGAAGCATATGTCTCAATGTTAAAGTAATTCAAACTAAGTACTGTTTAAAATATCAAAGCAAGAATGCACACACACAAACACACGAACTAAAAACACAAAGATCAAGACAAAGCTGGGAAATTTTCCAGTGTGGGAGTCCCACCTCCTAAAGGTGGAAGCCAGAAACTCGCTTTCCTAGCCTCCCTGTGGTAGGATCTAAGGGTTTTTCTGACCATGGAGCCTCCAAGCCCAATTCCATGGTCCTGTGGGAGATTCTGTGAGCTACCTAATACAGTTGTTGCAGAAATTTGGCCTCATTAAACAACCACAAAAAGAAAAAAACTCACAAATACCTTGTAGTCTATTTTAATCAACTTTAAGAGGTATAATTTGCATCCAATAAAATTCTCCCATTTTAAGTGAACAGTGCTATGAGCTTCAGCAAATATACACTCATGTAACCACCACTACACCCTAGATACAGAACATTTCCAGCAACCCAAAAAGTTCCCTTCTGCCTCTTTGTAGCTAACCGGTGATCTGTTTTCTGTCATTCTAGATTACTTTTGCCTATTCTAAAATTTCATATAAATGGGATCATATACAATGTACCCTTCATATCTCATTTCTTTCATCTTCTAGCCATTTTCAAACAATTTCTACTGATCTAAAACAATTATAATGCATTCTCAATCATTCTCCCTAGTGGAAGAAAGCATATGTGTGTGTTCAAAATAACAACTAAAGCAAAAATGATTAACATTTGGAATTGTTATATTTAAGTGTGTGATATGTCATGTTCCAGAAAGTCACCATTTTAAATTAATAGTGTGGTTAAGAAGAATTCTTAGATACCCTTTGAGTCCATCCCCACTCTATAATGTTCTCTTTTGAGGGGCTGTAAGATCTTAAACTGCTTAAACTAGGTGACCTCCATTTTCTACATGTTGAAAAAAAACGCCTGTTCTTGGGTTTCTTACAATGACCTAATGGATTATAATCTCTGGGGCTGGAAAGTATGAATTTGCATTTTTTACAAGTACTCTTGGTGATTCTTATCACACTTGCGCTCTAAAGTTTTTCTATTTGTGACTTATACCTTGCTATCTAAAAGATTTCAAAGTACTAGGTTATTACAAAATAAAAAAGAATATTGTCTTCCACTCCTAGAGGAAAGAAAGAAGATATAAAAGAATAGGTATCCACTTAATTTTATGAAGATTTTTAGGAGAAAAAAATGAAATGTTTGAAACCATCCTGTTTACGTGGAATTTTTAGCAAAAAATAACAGTAGTAATGACTGAGCATCATATTACCTTTTTTGGCTCAAACCACGTAACTTCCACACATTGAATCATCTCTGCCTGGTGGCCAAGTCTATTTTCACTTCAGATTATGCAGACTGATTCTTTCTCCAGTATAAAATCTCTTAACACAATTCATGTTGACAAGATCCCATGAAAACAAACAAACAAAAATTCCAATTTCCACATGGAGATTTTGCAACAAGATCTAGTGAAACAAATTTAAACACTTGAATACACTGTTTGGTAATATTATCATGTGGAGATTTTTATGATGTGTCTGAGACTCTAGTAAAAACATGTTTATTATAAACACACAAAAGAACATGCAGTTCTTAGGAGGTTTTCCTCTGGATCATACCTGATCTGATATTAATTCGAATTTCACTCACTTATATTGAGGTCAAATTAAGCTCTATAGAAGTAAACATGTGGAAGCCTGTAAAAAGCATGGTTCAGCCTTTTAAGAAATTTGTGTACAGTCTGAAAAAGGAAACTCAATAGATTCTCTCCGTGTGTGTAATGCATCTTTCAGCTGAAACCTGACACAGAGCTGTTGAAATACAAAGGAGTAGGGTAAGTTGTCATTTACTTGACTGGTCACAGCATTATGAGCTTGGTGGTCAGTTCATTCACAATAAACTTTTTAAATACATAAAACGTTTTAGTAAGTGATAAAATTCCATAAATTTTGATGGAGAAAAACATGGTAAGACTGTGTTCGAAATAGTGTTTCTATTTGGTTCAAAATATGATATAGTAAGAGAAGGAAGTTTTGGGGAAACTTTGAGGTTTACTTTTACTGAGGCAATTTGTGAAATTTGCTGGGTGGTAGGCCATGGGTAAGAGAAGGTCGGTTTCTGTGGACTGAAATGATGCTTTTTCACGGC